TAAAAATCCGTTTTCTCGTTGTTGTTTTTTTTTCTTTCGATTGATGAATTGATTGATTGATTGATTGATTGCTGGGGGAGGGGTCGCCCCCCCTACCCCCGCCCGATCACACACACACAAACACACAGTTACATGCACAGATATGCAATGTACGTAATAAACCGAGAATCTGCAATGTGATGAAAAGGACTGAATAGACAATGCGGTACGAGTAGAATCTCGACAAGCAATGTACATTCTCATTCATACATAAAGATGCTGTAGAGCGCAGGGAAGACTTCGATACAAAGACTGACCTGACAGGACTGACCTCATTCACGTAGTTCAGAGTAACGAAGCAGAATGCTAGAGTACCTCTAACTAGCCCAATCAATGTTTGAACTCAGACTAACAGGCATTGTATCCATCACGAAGTGTGAAGGAGCCTGGCGCTGCAAATAGGAAGAAAGCGCCAGGCCCAGACATACACAAACGAAGAGATAAGGGGCAGACGAAAGGAGGGAAGAAGATGGGAATGTCGTTAACACCAAGTCTTGGTCACCAGTCCCAAATAGTCCCTCGTTGCCATGTCTGAATCCCCGAAAGTCGAGTCTGGATCAAATGTCACCAAGCTCTGTATCTCTTCTCTCATAGTCTGCAGATGCAGTGAAGTCAGAAGTGAGAGGGAAATAAGAGATGGTGGACTGAGAAGAAGAAGAAGAAGAAGAAGAAGAAGAAGAAGAAGAAGAAGAAGAAGAAGAAGAAGAAGAACTCTCTCTCTCTCTGTTGCGAACCAGGTACTAACCTGTGATGTTGGCGCTGTGCTGCAGGTACCTCGAAGACGAAGCTGGAGCAACGGCGCTGCAGGTAGGTACCTCTGGCCTCCGCCCAAGCTCTCTCTCTCTCTCTCTCTAGTACTAACTAGCTATGGCGCCCAACGCTGGAGACTACAGCTACCTACTGCGCCCAGCGCCGAAGACTACAAGCTAACGCTACTACTCTACACTGCAGCGCTCCCTCCAGAGTGCTGCCCCCGAATCCGAAAGACTACAACTGCCGAACTGCCTCCCTCGGAAGTGTTTGGGAAGTCCTATGTACTACCTCGGTCTGCCTCCTGACTACTGGAGGGCAGTCAGGCCAAGGAGGCAGCTCTTGCCAATGCCGAAATGTGCTAGGGGCTGGCGTGCAGCAGCCTGCTTGAGGCTGGCGTGGGAAACAGACTAATAATAGTCTTTTTCCGAAACCCTGGTTCGGTGTCTGAAGTTCAGGGCCGGTCGTTCTGATGAACGACCGAAAATGACCCTTCGTTTCAGGCTAAAAAGGCTGTTGCCATTTTTAGTCTGAAACGACCAGGGATAGGCCCTGGACTTCAGGCTTTTGGCCTGAACCGACAGGGGGCCTGTAAGCCCTGGATTTCAGGCTTTCAGCCTGAAATTCAGGCTTTCGGCCTGAAGTTCAGGCTTTTGGCCTGAATGCGGTTGGGCCTGCAAAATGGTCGTCGGGCCTGCAAAATGGCTCATGTGTGCACGCGCTGCATGTAACCCCCCCCCCTCCTTATGAAGTCAAGCCGGGGCGAGGGCGAAGCCGTCGATCTGAAGGTGGAACCTGAACGCGGGTGCGGCGTGGAGCCGAAGAAACCGGCTTGCCCTGCATCTTGCGTTCGTAGCGTGCGAGAACATCTGGAGCTGTCGCTTGCAGTTCCGCACGGGTTAACCAACGGTCAGCTCGATGTGTGCAGTAGGCAAAATGCACCAAATACTCAGTTGGCTTGTTGCCAAAGCGTCGCTGGGAGATGATGTCGCTGACCTCTTGAAAACCATCCATAGAAGGTGGGTCTTGCGTCCGTCTCCCGGGAAAGTTGTCATGATCCGCTGGCGTGTAGAGAGTCAGTTTGGAGCAATGAAAGACTGGGTAGACAGGCAAGTGGCTAGGCACCTTAATCGTGAAGGAGGGTCCTTCGGGTGCGTCCCCAACGGGCTCTATGATCGGCCAAGGCCCCATCCATTTCGGGAGGAGCTTGCGAGAGACGTCTTGTTCAAGGCTGAATTCCGCTGCTGAAACCCAGACGAGGTCTCCGGCGAGGAATGGACAAGGAAGACGCTGGCGATTTGCCTGTTGGCGCATGCGCTGTTGCGTCTTAGCCATCTGGTCGCGTGCCTTGACAAGAAGCTCTTGCATCCGACGCAAGAAAAGAAGATGGTCGTCACTCTTTGCCGTGCGTGGAGTAATCGTGTCCAACGGTGACGTGACCGGCGAGCCGTGCTCGAACTCGAAGGGTGATATCCCAATAGCCGGGTGGATGGAAGAGTTGTAGGCCAACTCAACGTCCGGCAGTCGCTCAACCCAGTCTTTCTGGTCGGGGCGGATGAGAGTGCGAAGGAGAATTTGTGCGGTCTGATGCGCCCTCTCCGTCTAACCATCGGCCTGAGGGTGGCGAGCTGAACAGGGCTTGAGAGATGAGCCCCATCGCTTGATGAGCGCCAACCAAAAATCGGACATGAACCGAGTGTCGCGCTTGCAGACGATCTCCTTGGGGTAACCCTTGGTGTGAATCCAACCGGCGTACAAAACCTCGGCCAACTCCGGTGCCTTGGCATGATAGCGACAAGGCAAAAACATGGCAAACTTGGTGAGTCGGTCGACCACCGTGAGAATCCCATCCGCTCCGGTCTTGTGCTTGGGGAACGGGCCGGTGATGTCCATGACAATCGCTTCCCTTCACCTCAACGGGACTGGCAATGGTCGTAGCTCACCGTACGGACGATGGTTTGTGGGATTTGCAGCGTCGGCAAACCTCGCATGACTCGCAATAGCGTGTGACGTCGCCGAGAAGGCCGGGCCACCAAAATCGCTTGCGAAGTCGGCCAATCGTGCGATTGACTCCAAAATGTCCGGTGGCAGGAGCGTCGTGGAACTCGCCAAGAAGCCGTGTACGCAAGTGAGGATCACTTGGTACGCAAAGAAGGTCCTTCCTCCGCGTGTGGACAAGCAAGTACCCCTCCTGGATCCGGTAGTGAGAAGGAGCCGGATTAGGCGAGGAGCAATTCGTGTACTTGTCGCGAAACTCGGGGTCTGCTTGGTAACCGCGGATGAAGTTGTTCCGCAGGTCATCGTCAATCTTGAAAGTCGAGTAGACCGCGATACAGTGATCCGGACGCCGTGAAAGAGCACTCGCAAAACGGTTCGACTTCCTGGGAATGTGATCGAGAAAGAAGTCGAACTGGTTGATGAAAGTCATCCATCGAGTGATGGTGCTGTTGATGGTGTCTTGGGTCTTGTAAAAGACCAACGGATTGTTGTCCGTTACCCAGCGGAATTGGCTTCGACCAAGGAGGAAGTGCCGCCACCGCTTGAGCGCGTGGACAAAGGCGAGGAGCTCCTTCTTGCGTGCATCGTCAATGGAATGCACGCGTGACACTTTCTTGCTGAAGTACTCGACCGGGTGCCAGTCCACACCATCATGTTGCTCGAGGACTGCACCAATGCCATAGCCTGACGCATCCGTAGTGACACGTGTAGGCGGGAGCGGGTCGTATATCCGCAACACCTCCGTAGACAATAGCGCGGCTTTGAGAGCGAGGAATGATCCCCGCGCCTCCTCTCCGAAGTCAAACGGTCGATCCTCGCACTGAAGCTTGTTCAAGTGGGCCACGATCTTGGAGTAGCCTTTGATGAAGCGCTGATAGTAGCCGGTAAGACCAAGGAACGAGCGGACATCCGTGACGTTCCGAGGCTCTGGCCACTCTTGGACGGACTGAATCTTGTCCGATAGTGGACTGATGCCCTCCGGTATGACAAAATGGCCCAAGTATTCCATCTCTTGCCGGACAAATTCGCACTTGTCGCGGTTGGCCTTGTACTTGGCACGGCGGAGCGTCTCCAACACTCGTCGAAGATGTCCAAGATGATCCTCCAATGTACGGCTGTAGACGAGAATATCGTCTAAGTGGACCAGCACGAACCGGTCCAACATTGCACGAAACTCATTGGTCATCGCCGCCTGGAATGTCGCCGGGGCGTTGGTGAGGCCAAAAGGCATGACCACTAAGAGTCCGCCGATGGAAGTTGACCGTGTGATCCGCACTTGCAAGCCAAGGCATTCCCAGAATGATGTCGAAGTCCGTGTCGAGAATATCGAATGTCACCGGTTCGCATGCATGAGGTGCGAAGTAGACCGATACGGCCTCGATGTAACGGTCGAGTAGTTGCTGCGTCTTTCCATCCACCAACTTGATTGCTGTCGGGTTTGCCTTYCTCCGAACTTGTGCGCCAAGGCCAGCTCTTTGCATAAAAGTTCTGGCTCATGAAGTTGCGAGTTGCGCCGCTATCCAGCAAAGCGCTGCAGGACGCTTGCCCAACCTGGATGCGGACATACATGAGCGGTGCATTGTTGTTATCGTACCGCTGCGTGCGAAACTCGCGGGCCACCTTGGTAACGTACGCCAGGATGTCCCCCACCGCGACTTCGTCATCCGTCGGTGAAGTTGGTGGTGCATAAAAGGAAAGGTAAGTGTGGAGATGAGCGCTAAGTGCTGCGCATTGCGGTCCCGGCAAACAGCCTGTGGTCGGGAGAGGAAGCCATGCAAAGTCCTCAGACGTGAGCGGGTCCAAAACCTCTATCTTGAACTCGCGCGCCGAATCCCGTGACGAACCACTTGAAGACGATATGTCGCTGTTGCCGAACGGAGAAGAAACCGCACACACTCCTTGTCCTTGAGCTTGAGTACCCAGCGTTGGAACGAGTCGAGCAGTATAGTCCTCAAAAGAAAATAGAAGCGGAACGTGGTCTGCTGACGTGGCCTGCTGACGTGGCAACTTACCAATGCCGTCACAAGGGGTACCCGTAGAGAACCAGAAACGGCAAGGCGAGAGATGGCAACAACGTAGGTGGGGAGGGGTGGGTGGGATAATCGCCCAACTCACACTTAGATAAGGAGCCACTAATCAAACCAGAAAAGTTTGAACTTTGCAAAAAAAAAAATTCGAGAAACTAAAAAAAATAAAAATCCCGATTTTTGCAAGTTCGGTAGGTTTCCCAATCACCCTTGAAGTACGAAATGATCTTTGAAAGCAAACAAAATTTCGACTTTAGACTTCAACCGATTTATAGAACCAGTTGACAAAATCCAAGAACTGCGAAAAAAGTCCGAACAGAAATGACAACTATTCGGATTTATTCGGATGGGAATATTCGCAGTTTGAAAAAAAAATAATACGTGCACGAGGTATTTCCTGTACCGTTTTCAGAAAAACGATTTTCAGACAAGAAGATATTCCGAAGTTCTAAGTACGGGAAATGCAATAGCAAATCGAAACTTTCAAAAAGAAATATATTTCGGATTTTTTTTACAACGAAATTTCGAATTTTCAGAAAGAAAAACGAAAATAGGAATTTCATATGTTGCAATATAGCAGAAAATAAAATCCGAGAAAGAAAAAAAAAATCCATTTTTTTTTGTAGTAAGGTCAAGATCGTGATTTTGGGGTCTAACTAGTATGTCCTAATCAAAGAAAAGACTAACTAGCTTTCTTGATCCCCGCACACGTGTTAGATCAGATAGTCCTGATTCACGTGTAAAAGCTCCGATACCAACTTTTACATGCACAGATATGCAATGTACGTAATAAACCGAGAATCTGCAATGTGATGAAAAGGACTGAATAGACAATGCGGTACCTCATCTGTTGTGGTCCACATGTACGGACCTCGACGGAGACAACTCCTACTACCTCCCCTCGGGCCACTATCTGGTCATTGACGTGACCGATCTCACCTTGTGGGATCCGATCACTTGAAGGGTGGAAGCAGAAGAAGAGGTAAACGAAGAGGAGGAAGAGGGAGAGGAGACGAGCGAAGAAGAAGAAGAAAACTCGGGGGCAGAATCTGACAACCCCGATTACCACGAGTCTGAGGAGGGCGCGCTAGAAGGAAATGAGTCGGGCGGATCAGACGGTTCCAACGGACGGAGTGAGGAAGACGAAGCCGCAGCCCAGAAGAGGCGGGAAAGGGCAGAAGGAAAGCAGTCGGTGGAAGAGTCAGACGAACCCTCGGCGCGACTACTTAGTGGGCAAGGCGATCCGGTGGGCAATCCAGAGCCACCACAGGACGAGCACGGAGAAGACGGCATTACTACCACGGAGGGATCCAAAAGTCGACGCCATAGAAGTTCTTCGCCGACTGAATCCTCTGCACCACTGTGGCCCCACCGTTCGCATACGAGGAGATGCGGGCGCCCGGGCTTCGACCCTGGTCGTTATCCCATCGTCCCCTTGACTACCTCACATCCATCAGCTCGAAGGTCGACCTCCGTTCCCTTCTAACTGGCATCCTTTCCCACCCTCCCTCTTCCACCAAATCTATTCTACCCTCCTCATCGCCACCGTTTTCCCGCATGCCACCACTCGTTCTCTCGTAACTTATTTTCCCCTCCACATCCTTCTCTTTAGCACGACATGGCAAGAATATAATAATTTAGAGGTTTATTGCATAGTCACGGGTACCATCCCCGCATGCAAAGAGCATGAGAATTTTTGCGCCTCGAGTCCCCACACCCTCTCTACCCTCTATCCTGATTACCTCGCCTCGCTCCCTCATCAAGATCATCGTTCCCCGCACATCCATCGCTCCGTTCACTACACCCGACTCCCTGCTGGAGACCAACAACTTTGTCGCTTTCTGCCACCGTCCCCCCTCCCGCAAGTTCATCCTCCTCCTCCCCCATCAGTCATAAGGCTACCCTTCCCCGACAATCTCTAGGATCGGAGTTCGCGGGTGCCACCTGGATGACTTCCGTACTCTTATCTCACGGTAAGTGGCACGTGTCGGCTCCAACCGCTCCATGTCGATCGCTGATGCTTTCTCACAAGATCGACAGATGATTGGGAGATCAAGGAGGATCTTGCTCAAGATTGGAACCCCCTAGGTGTCATATATGTGACGAACTGTTTTTTGCAACTGTGCGATTTTCTGCGCAAGGCTACTTTGGGGGTTGAATCGGGAGGGTCTGCGGGATTACATGGGTGCCCTTGCTTTTCTTGTGTTTCGGAATCGAGGCCGGGGTGATCTTGTGATGATTGGTAGCTGGTCGCGCCTTCGCAAACGCGAAAGATAACTGTTGTCCTAGCTTCTTTCTTGTTCTGTTGTGGGAAATTGGAATTTTGGCGGGGTCGTCGTGCGGGAAAATCTTTTTGAATTTTCAACTCAGGTCGAGCCCCCGTGGGCTCTCGGAATTTGCTTCACTCGAAATTTCTTTTTGCAATTAGGATTTAGATTAAGAAGTTAGGCGCGTCTCAAGTTTTGTTGCACAACGCTCCTTGCTTGCGCACGCTTTGCCGCGTCAGGATATGTGTTCTGACTTCTTCCACGCCTAACTGTAACTTTTATTTTGGCGGGCATAATTGCAACAGTAATCCTCCTCTTCTTGATATCTTTTGTGGTGTCCCTGTGCGCGCGTACTTCTTCCTATGTCCTATTGGCCTGGACGCTTGCATGGTTGGATCGATGTGTGGAGTGAGGCTACGTCCCCCACACCGCGGCCTGGCCATGCAGACGTAGGCACTTCCTTCCTCCTCCTCGGGTATCTCGTGCAAGCATGCATGCAGCATGCTATAAATTTCGCAAGCGCGATTACTCGCTCTCTAATCATTATGGGAGTTAAAGCGGTCGAGAGGATCGGCTTACGAGCGAGATTTGGAAGGTGAGGAGAGAGTTGGGCGATCCGACGAGTTGGTGTTGGGTATGCGGGGTTGACGTGGGGCCGCGACGGACTGCGGCACACGGGCGAACCTGGTTGGCATGTTTGGACTAAGCGGGGTGACAACTCTATGTGCGCGCGAGGCGATGAACTGCCCAAATCGAGATGTTGTCAAGAGAGAGAGAGAGAGAGAGAGAGAGAGAGAGAGAGAGAGAGAGAGA